CAAAGTCTCCCTCTTGTATTATAGTATCATAGTTGCTTACGGAATTTTATTACTAGTACAAAAAAAAAATAAAGAAAAAAACTCGACCAGACCAACGATAGACACTACAAATACGAGGTTTGTCCGGAAAGTACGTATAAAAGTTTTTTAAAAAATTTATTTTACAATTATTCAGGTAAATCAATTTTATCCCCTTCAAAGTACTCCCCCTGTGACATAATGCACTTGTGCCAACGCCGTTTCCACTGTGAGAAGGCTCCTTGAAAGTCCTCTGGTTGTAGGTTTCTCAGCTGCCCCGTCGTAGCTTTTTTTATCTCATTTATGTCCCCCAAATGCCGCCCCCGAAGTACCAATTTGGTTTTTGGGAACAAGAAGAAGTCACACGGGGCCAAATCCGGCGAATAGGGGGTGTTCGGTCACCGTAATGGAATTTTTACTCAAAAACTCACGGAACGATCTTGGCGCAAATTTTTTTCATTTGAAGTTCGTTTCTTAGAATTTCGTGGACCACGGTTTTGCCCAAATTAAGCTCTTCAGCCACCTGTCTGACCGTTAAACGACGGTCCCCATTAACACAAGTTCGAATTCTTTCCACGTTTTCGTCGGAATGTGAAGTGGAAGGACGTCCTGAACGTGGGTCATCTTGAACGCTTTCTCGGCTCTCTCTGAATCTTTTTAGCCACTTGTGGACGGTTGGTTCCTTCACAGCATCATCCCCATAAACTGTTCTGAGATCGGCAAAAATTTCACGGCCACTCTTGCCGAGTTTCGAGAGAAACTTGATTACGACGCGCTGCTCTTCAATGGAAGCGGGCTCCATGCCGACGGGGTTTCGTTAAGAGGTAACTTCACAGATGGCGTGACAAGCCAGTTCGCACCGCACGGCGGTCAGACCAGAACTGAAGCATTGTTAGGGACATAAGGAAGGGGTCCTGCGCTTACCTGGCCTCCCCACTCCTCTTTCTCGCATTCCAGAACACTTTTATACGAACTTTCCGGACAGACCTCGTATACCTAATTGTTTCCAAAGATTAAATAATTATATTGAAATTTCTTTTATTTTTACGCGTACGGGAATTACCCTAACCTCATTGTACATAACGAATAAATGTACCTAATACCTAGTATTATATGATTTATAGTAATACGCATTATAGGTATTACATAGTAAACCGCATACGACCTACGTGACAATATTAATTATTTGTTTTTGTTTTAATTCATTCATTAATTTCTCCTGCTTATTTCTAACCTACACATGTCTTACATATAAGATATAGACTTAGATTATATAGATAGAGCATCGAGCCTCAAAAACGGGTCAACTTTTGTCAGCAAATTGTCAAATTAGCTGACTCGTTTTTTTTTTTCATTAATATTCTATATACTTACGTACACAATGTACCTTGACGTATTTATATTTAATTATTTAATAAATAACATGGGTGTTAGAGCATTAAAAAGAGCATTACAAAATTAATAGGACAAAATAAATATGCAAATTATAAAGGAATCACTCATAACTATATAAACACGCAAAATTGTATGAAAAAGTTGACTCCCTTTTCTAGAAGCATTTGTATGGGGACACTCTATGTATACAATCTAAGGATATATATATTTAATATAAATACAGGTATTATTACTTCTTTCCATTCAGTGGTTGGCTGGAACATATCGCTTTTAGATATAAGGCCACCCGTTGTTTTTACTCTGTGATCTATTTCATGTAAATAGTTTTTGTTTCTGCCAAGTATTACTAATGTATATCTTTTGGAGACACTAGTAAAGAGTAGTGTGTAGGTAGCTAGATTCCTTTGAACACAGAGGAAGTAATCACTTCTTCAAATCTATTCAAATAAGGAACAATGTACCTATAATCCATAGATTAAAAAAAGTATGTTTTATTGCTTTGATCCCATAGTTAGTATACGTAATCTGCTTTAATCGGACAAAAACTGTTATGAAAATCTTATATAAAGAACATTCTTATTTTTAAATTAAGAATATTAAAAGTATTATTTTTAAAACCATAGACTCAAACTACAAATTTTATGTTCATTTTTAAATAAAATGATAAAAAAAGGTAAACTATTCAAGCTGCCAGTAACAAGTACCTAAAGTGTATTTATTTTACTAATGTTTATTTTATCAATTCTTTTCGGTTGAAACTACTTCCTGAACTGGTTAAAATAAACATGAATTGACTCACAACTACTGTGGTACTAATGCGATAAATGTAGCCTGTTTACTGATACACTGATGGAAGTCTAACTGTCTGTGTACTACAGAGGATGTAGAAAAAGTAGATAGAGGGTCCAGTTGTGCCCTGCTAGTTTCAAATTCAGCATTTTTCATTGAAAATGTGTCGTTAGATATTGTTAGTAATGCGGATTACCAGTCCCATTGCTAGCAATATACTCTCAATTTGATCTCCACGTGGTTTCCCCTAGAAACTATAGTGCTAAATTTAGTAGGTAATTTATCACGATGGCCTAACTGACCTGCCTTTTCATTCTCACCTATCATCCCTCACTGGTGTCTCGTTAGCGTATGCCGTTAGCACAGGGTAATCATGCTATTATCATGCGTTAAAAAAGATCATCTTCTAGTCTTTTTTATGCAACTTAGAATGGCAAACAAGTTGGCGGCCCACTTGATGGAAAGTGGTAACTGTCGCCTATAGACATGAGCAGTACCATGGACATAACAGAGTATACTGTTTTGCCCATGATACCCCACATGTGTTGCTATTTCTGAGGACTGAGGTGTTATTTCTCTGTATCCTGTAAATGTACTGCTATATCCAACTCTTCAAAACGAAACAAAGCCATGCAAACACAACTGCTTCAAGGTAGAAACACGAATGGGACAGAAGTGCTCAAGCAGACGACTTGTACAAAATCTGCCTCTAGTGAAAAAAGACTCGTGTCGTTTGGGATATAAAAAAAATATATATACGTAGTAATATGTGAATGGGTTTCTGTATTAAAGAAGCAATTGTCCTTTTATATCGCTGTAAAGGCCACGAGATAAATAAGTATTAAACGAGCACTAACAAATGGCAAAGTTCAAATGACAATTTACTGTGGTCACGAGATACCGAGGCTTGGCGTGTCGACCTTAGACCCACGTTGGTAGCGCTGGGCGACAGACGCTGTGTGGAATTATTCAATATCATAATCGATACATGTACGTTACACGCATTCTCTAGCTCATATATCACATATCGTCATAGTCGTAGAATACTGACGGATCTTTATATGTAATCTTTGTCAGATCCGTCAATTATTTGACATGAAATTTAACATACATATACTATTTGGGATGGAAGAGGACATAGGATTCTTGCCCCGTTCAATCAACATATAATAATTTGCCTGAAGACGCCTTATTTAGAGGTCAAACACGTGTTGCCAGGGGGAAAGGGATTGTTAGTAATGGAGACTGAGAATCCTATTGCTAGCAATATACCCAACCAGGTCGACCTCCTCGCGGTTCTCCCTGGAAACTATCATGGTTAATTCGTGATGAATTCATCATGATGGGCTAACTGGCCTGTTTTCATTCTCATCTATCACCCTTCACTGGTGCCCCGCCAGCGTATCCCATTAGCGCAAGTGGGGTTACCATACCAATTTCACTCATAAAAAAAAACACATATATACGTGGTATATACACGCATTATATATAACAATAAAAGCCAAGTATGCCAGTTTATTCGCTGTTTTCATACACTTGTTAATATAAAGTTAGTACTTAGATTATAATATATACCAAGTAATTAAATACTGTTTTGATATTATAAGTGAATTGTTACAAAGAAATGGGTGTGGTACCTAACTACTTAATACGTACATTGCTATCATTGATAAAGTCTTGGATGTTTTATTATTAATCTTTTAAACAGTGCTTTGTTGCAACTTGTAAATGCAAAGGTATTGCAATCCGAAATCGACCATCAACAGTATTATATCTCTTGTTTTTTTTAATGGGTGATAATGGAATAGTAACTCCGCTTACGCTATTGGTATACGCTAGCGGGCACAAGTGAGGGATGATAGGTGATGATGAAAGCAGGTCAGTTAGCCCATCGTGACTAATTGCACTAAAATTAACCACAGTGGTTTCCAAGAGGAACCACGTGGAGGTCGACTTGATAGGGTGTATTGCTAGCAACGGGGCAGTTAGATCCCATTACTGACAATTCCTTTCCCCCCGACAACAGAGGGCAGTTGACGGTTGATGTGATGATAATAATTTTTCTCAAACATGCTTGGAAATGTGAGCATTATTTTGACAATCTTCTTCGAGATAAATCAAAATTGCCGTACTGGCCAGATACATGCGGGCAGCGGCCGGCAAAAGTTGTATGAAAATCCATATCTGTTGTGTTTTGCGGCCAGATAAATTACTATGTAAACTCATATCTGTCCTGTAATTTAAAAATGGAATGACCTTTTACTTCGAAACATGGCAACCAAGGAGGTAACTAATAAAAGGTTTTATTTAAATTTCGAACTGGCTTGCAAATAGAAAGCTGTTTATTGAAAAAAAAAAAAAACAAAGAAACATTATGGCGCGTGAAAAATTATTATTGTTCGTTATTCGTCATTGAACTTAAAAAGTAAAATTGTGTTTTTGATTTCCGCGCATTGTTTGAGAAAAGTACTATACAAGTCTTGGCCACAACTAGGCATTAATGGACTCACGTATGTGTGCCTCGGCTACGCCTCGGCCCACATTTGCACGTTCATCCATCAATGCTTCAGTTGCTGGCCGCTGCAGTAATGTACAATATATGGTTTTAGTTAATTTCTTTTTAATAAGCATACATGTTCGTAAGACGTGAAATAACATATGTGTTACATTAAAGGAATGTACAATCACTATTCTGTGTTACTTCTTTGTCACTAAGTGAGCAATTGACAATGTCAAATCCCACTCTGAAATCATAACGGTGCGTACAGTTTTCTAGAAACAACAAACTACATACCCACCTAACTATTGTTATTGTATTGATATTCCGGTTTTTATATCGATCTTCTTATCTTTTTGATAACAGTGTATGGCTTTTCTGTCTTTGATGTCTGAAAATAATATTTTATTTTAATATCAATAATATATAAACATAGTAAGAATGTTTGTTATTATAGATAATAGTGGCGTTTTAGTAAACCGGCGAATTGGAATGGTGATTAATCCTGATGAGGATCTCGAGGAACTACTCGTGTTTCAACCGTGAAGCAGTTGTGTTTGCATGGCTGTGTTTCGGTTTGAAGGGTGGCATATAGCAGTGAATTAACAGGGTATAGAGGAATAACACCCGAGTCCTCAGGAATGGCAACGCATGGCGGGTATCATGGGTGAAACAGTATACTCTGTTATGTCTATGGTACTGCTCATGTGTATAGGCGACCGTTACCACTTTCCATCAGGTGGGCCGTCAGCTTGTTTGCCATTCTAAGTTGTATAAAAAAAAAATTATGTTAAACATTTTTGAATAGCCGTTTTTCTCTTAGTCTCTGTATATACGAATAATTATATCGAGCTACTGACGTTTCGATATTGACATACATATTTTCCTCAATCAAATTGAACCTATTGACCGCTTCATGTAGAGTGGTGTCGTAACACATTCCATCATTATTAGAAAGATCACTAAATAGCCAATGACTGAATTTTTACTAAAAAGAATTATTAAAAGAGCATAATCCTTTTTTAAAGGCCTGCAGCACACCTGCAATGCCGTTGGTGCTGTTAGTACAGATGGGCAAAGCACCGGGTTTAAACCCGGTGCTTTGGTAAAAACCCAATAAACACCCATAAACTCCCATAATCACCCAAAAAAATAGGTTTTTACGTATTTTTTTGAAAATATGTAAGTAATACCAATAAATTATTTTTATAAATTGTATTGATCAATTCTACAATATTAAATAAAACGTTAACTAATAATATTTCAGGAAATTTTAAAAATCTATATATAATAAAATGAAAGTAATTAATTTTCAGTGTTTTCATGTTGCAGTTGATCAACATGTTGGCCTTTTGCTTCCCGTAGATACTTTAAAATTTCTTCATAACATCTCGTTCGCACACATGGCCGTATATATTTAAATTCTTGAGCCACTAACAGTCCGAAATACTCATTTCTTTTATCCTCTTCTCCATAAATTAAGCATTTAGAACAGTTTGTTTCTTCTTTCAGTAAATTTTCTTTTACTTTATCCTCGTTTTTTTCTTTGTTGCGACGACGCTGGGTAAATCATCTGGACACTGGGTCTCACTATCGCCAAATATATTTGGAGATCGGCTTCGGCTACGGCTTGGCAGACATTTTTTTCTTTCTACAATTTTAAATTAAATTTATTAGAATAAATGCTTCGAACACACGCGATCTAAGTACCTTTTGTGTTTATTATACCTTACCTACCTAGGTATAAAAAGAGTACTTACGTAGATTTTCTTTTATTAACTGTTTTATACGAAGATCTTGATCTCTCAAATTAGCATCCATTTTACTTCCAGTGATTATCAACTAAATTAATAATCCACAAAGTATTAAATAACGTTTTTATGAAATATTTAGCACAAAAACAATACCCTTTAAATATCGATCGTCAGTAACTGTGGCTGACTTACCTATATTCTAGCAAGCAGGACTGCCAGATGTGAAGGGGAAATCCCCAATAAATTGTTGCATGTGACTGATGATGTGAGCATGTTCGTTTCATAATAAAAATGTTGCCAGGTAACCAAAAAGTCGTATGTTTTTGTGCGAATTACGATCATAATCTTTACGATCGTACATTAAAAAATAGACAAATAATAGTATGAGTACGATTTAAATCGTATATCTGTCAACCCTGCTAGCAAGACAGCGACAAAATCACGTTGCATAACAATGTAGCCCAAGCTTATATCTTATGAAATATACGGAAGAGATACGGACTTAGAAAAAACAGAAATGTTGTTCTTTGTGGAAGTCATTGATGAAATTCTATGTATTTTAGCCCGCAAACTTTCTTCAAACAAAAACAGCGCCATCTAGTATCGAGTTCTGTAATTATCTCTTTGTTTATGGATTTGAAGTAAGACCGCCACGCATGCAATACATTATGACTGGGGATTCCCCTATTCGTCGACGCTGAATATGAGGCGACGACAATCACTGTCAAACGTGTTCACTATTACTCTGACTCTGGTAACGTGACTTCCTGGTAACGTGTTAGGTAGGAAAAGCAGTAAAAAAGTGCATATTAAGGGAGCAGATTTGAAATAATATTTATACTTAACAAGAAATAATTAAAGGTAAGTGGATTTTTGAATGATACAATTATATCATGATCACTTAACAATTTTAACTTAAAATTAGATGTATTATTACAAGCTTTTATTTAGCTTGCGTTATGTAAATAAAAGTATGTAGGTATGTTCGTATGTTGATGCAATTATCCTCAATCCTCAACCGACTGGGATAAAATTTTCCATACACGTTTATTTTGGATGATAGTGCATAGTTAGCTGAGAGTCGTCATTGGATAATAATGGTGGATAGCCTAAGATGTGTACTAGATATTTATTTTTAACATAATATGCGTAAGTACCTAATCGAATTAAAGAAGTTGCTGAGAAAAATACAGAACAATACGATAATAAACTAGCGTCTGCGTTTAATCCTCCGAGGAGATGTAATTTTACAAAGGTTTTTTGTATTTATTTTATTATTTTTTTAATAAATTTATTGTAAATAACAAGAAATAATCATTGTAAAAAAATAGGCACTCTATTGTTGAATTTTCGTCAGACCAACTAATCATCGTTCATTTTTTTAGGTTCAATGGGGAGACCTAAAGATTTACGCATATGGGAGCACTACCGTACTTTACCAAACAAGTCTGTTTCTTGCAAGCTTTGTAATAAGGTCTACAAATTCAGTAATGCTGCCAAAATGCTTCAACATCTTATCACTTGTCCAAAATCTCCAGAAACATTAAAAGACTCTATGAAACTTATAAAAGATAGCTCGTCCAAAACCAAAATGTCTGGACTGTCAGAGATAGAGACAAATGATTCTTTTATAAGCCCCTCGTCGTCTGCTAACACTACAATAAATGCTGAGTTTCAAGACACCGATGATCATATAAAAACAGAATTAGCGAGAGCTATATTTGTAACAGGGACGCCATTATCGATGGTGCAACATCCTTTATGGATACAATTTTTCGAAAAATTGCAACCAAAATTTAAAATACCTTCACGTAAAGCTTTAGCGACAAAATACTTAGATAAAATATATAGAGAAATGCGTTTTGAGTTAAATGAGGAACTAAATGCTTGTAGTTACTTACACCTTCAGTGCGATGGCTGGTCTAATTTAAGAAATGAAGGAATAATAAACTTTCTTATATCAAAACCTCAACCTGCATACGTTAAAAGTTTGAATACAGAAAGTAATCCTCACACTAGTGAATACCTTAGCCAAGAAGTTGAAAAAGTAATGAAAGTGTATGGAGCAAATAAGTTTCTTGTACTTATTGGCGATAACGCTAGAAATATACAAAAGGCATTCGAATTAACAAAACTCAAATATCCACATGTTGTTCCTCTCGGTTGCTGTGCACATATCCTTAACTTGTTGTGCCAAGATATTGTAAAGATACAAGAAGTAACTGTGTTTATTATGCAAGCCATAAATATAATAAAAACTGTTAAAAGGAGTCAACGATTAAGTTCCTTGTTGATAAAATCAAGGCAGGGTGAAGATTCTACACAAACACTAAAATTGCCTTGTGCTACAAGATGGGGAAGTCATGTTACTTCGTTAAAAAGTTTGAAAGCAAATAAGATAGCTTTGCAAATATTAACAGTTAGAGAAGATGTGGTAATTTCAAGAGATATTAAAGATTTAATTCTAAGTGATGATTTCTGGACGAAGACAGGGGAATGTATAAGTATTTTGGAACCAGTCACTGAAAGCATATTTTACTTAGAGAGCGACCAGAATCGTTTGCATCGCACATACATTACATTTAGAGATGTACAAGCTAAGATACGTTTTGCATTAAATGAGATTTCGACATTGAGCGAAGAAAGCAAACAGCAGATTCTAACATCAGTATCTTCAAGATGCAATATGGCAATGAGGCCAATACATTTTGCAGCATATATTCTAGACCCCAGGACTCTAGGAGTCGAACTTACTCAAGAGGAAGAACTTAAGGGTATGGAGTTTATCTACAATTTAAGCCAACACTTAAGTTTGTCAAATGTAATGGCAGATTTGGCGTGTTATAAAGCTAAAGAAAACTTTTGGGCCAGAGGATTTGTATGGAGCTCATTAGATAGCATTGAGCCCCTAATATGGTGGAAAGGTATTTGTGGTTCCACTGAGTTAAGCAAAGTAGCGATTCGTATTCTATCAGCTCCCTGTACTTCGGCAGCCACTGAGCGTTCCTTTAGTATCCAAGGCTACATACATAATAACAAAAGAAATCGACTTACAACTGAAAGAACTGAAAAAATTTCATTCATTTGTTATAACTGGAATCTTAAACATAAAGCTGAATGCGAGGACATTCAGTTTAATGAAGAAAATACCTTAGAAGCTTTCATTGAGCAAGTAAATGAACATAACAGTTTAGACGAAATAGAGCCTATCGAACCTATACAATTCATCGCTTGTAATAACTCTGAATCTGACAGTGATTGACTGTAGTTTTACATTTTACTTTCATCTCTTTCTTAATAAACTCAAAATCAAATTAAAAGTTTTTTATTCTGTAGGCTGCATAATAATATTGTCTATGTCCAGTATAGTGGACGTCTTGCGGCTGAGATGACGATGATGAAGTACAAAATCATAAACACCCAAAAATTTGGGTGTTTATGGGGTTTAAACCCAATAAACCCAAAACACCCGGTTTTTACCCACCAGACTTTAAACCCACCCAGGTGGATTGCCCATCTCTAGCTGTTAGTGATCATGGCCGGCGGTAGTCACTTACCATCAAGTGAGCCGCATGCTCGTTTGCCCCCTGTGTTGTAAAAAAAGCTGTGTTTCGGTTTGAAGGGTGGGATATGGCGTGAATTTACAGGGTACAGAGGAATAACACCTGAGTCCTCAGGAATGGCAACGCATGGGGGGTATCATGGGCGAAACAGTATACTCTGTTATGTACTGGAAACCATCGTGAACAATTCTTGTGGATTTCGTCACGATGGGCTAACTGACCTGCTTCATTCTCACCTATCATCTTCCACTGGTGCCCCGCCGGTGTATGCCGCTAGCGCGGGTGGGGTTACCATTCCATTATCACCTATAAAAAAAAAGGAAACTCCATTTGGTACTAGATACAGTATTATATGACGAGTACTATTTATTTATTAGAGACATGTTAAAAATAGTTGAATAATAAATCAAGTAGAAGACGGATCGTGTGCGCAGAAGTGGGCGCAAGGCCATAGCAATTCCGCGTGCCCCCGCCGTGCGCCGGCGCATGCGTCCCGACGCCGCTTCCCGCGGGAACGTTCAACTACGCGGATACTGTTACGTGACCACTGACGGTAAATGGGAATATTAATTGGTAACTTCAAGGAGAATGGGTAATGGGCTTTTTAAATTGGAAGAAAGGAAACGGTGACATAACCTGCTTGGGTATTTCTGTTTCAGCTATGAAACACCTTGTATGGTTGTATTTTTAAAAGGTGTTATCATGATCGTCACCATCTCAGCCATTATCCGTCCACTGCTGGACATAGGCCTCCCCCATACACTGCCACAAGGAACGGTTCTAAGCCACCTGCATCCACTGACTCCCTGCAGTGCATTTAGTATATACTAGTCACTATATAGATTTTGAAATCAGCTATTTGTATTCCTAGCAATACACCCTATCAGGTCAGGACCTCCACACGGTTCTCCTTGGAAACCATAGTGGTTAATTCTTGTTAAATTGGTCACGATGGACTAACTGACCTGCTTCATCCTCATCTATCATCTCTCACTGGTGCCACGCCAGTGTATACCGATAATGCAGGCGGGGTAACCATTTCATTATCATCCATTAAAAAAACACAACACGAAACAAACATACAGGGTTCTTCAAAAGAGGGGTAAAGAGGTTACTTCAGGGTCGGCAACGCACGGGTATACCTCTTTTATTGCAGGTGTTCATAGGCTACGGTAACCACTTACTATCAGGTGGGCCGTATGCTTGTTTGCCACCTCGATGGTATAAAAAAAACAGACAGGCAGAGTAATGAAATAAAAAAAAATATATATTATTTTAGCTTATCATTATCATCATCTTTTCAGCCATTATCCGTCCACTGCTGGACATAAGCCTCCCCCATAGACTGCCATAAAGAACGGTCCTGAGCCACCTGCATCCACTGACTCCCTGCAGTGCATTTAGTATATACTAGTCACTATATAGATTTTGAAATCAGCTATGCCACAAAGACGCAGATATTTCTCCCCATACTGGGTATGACTAATTGAAGAGACCGCCTTCGCTTTTAAATACGTATCTGGATAAGGAAAAAAAAATACAGGTAGGACAGAGCTATGATGAATGTGTATGAGTCATCGGGCCGCAGGTAAGTCGACTTAATTCTCTCACTTAACCCTCAGGGTTTAGTGATGGGCAGTCTTAGATAGAGGTATCGATATGCGAGTATAGTTCAAAACGGGAACGCCTAAAACATCGTGAGTGCTTTTTTTTAATGAATAAGGTTGTCTGTAAGAGATTGCCCTAGCGATAAGACCGCTTTTTGTACCTTTATGTGTATATTTCAATCTGTATTTATGTTACTGTATTTCACTTGAATTATTCACTTGTCATTGTATATTTTTATTTATGGTGCAATAAAGAGATAAATAAATAAATAATGGCAACCCCGTCTGCGTTATCCGTATACACTGGCGTGGCACCAGTGAGAGATGATATGTGACGACGAAGGTTAGTTAGCCCATGACGAATTTAACAAGAATTATTCATGATGGTTTTCAGGGGGAACTACTTGGAGGTTGACCTTGTTATTATGACCCTTTCCCCTAATCGTGAGTGTTTATGCTCTTTGGATAACTAGGTACATCATCATTGTTTCAGCTGAAAGAAGGACAAGGAAACTTGACCTAAACAGCAGATAATGAGATGTGGATTATTTCAATTATATTATGATGTCTAGACACCGTGTGGTTTCGGCACTAAGGGAACTTAATCGTAGAGGGATGGGCAGCAGCGTCCGTCTGCCGGGACCACACGGCTAATGTTGTATATACTTAGTTATTATTGTTAATTTATTATTTGGGTTGAATGAGTAAGCAGTATTCATACAGATTATGCGCTCAATTCTTATCACATTTTACGGCCATATAATGCATTTGTTATGTGGAAATGTAGACGAATCGAATGTTATATAATAGTATTCCAAAGTTGCTAACAAAATAGAATCTGTTACTTATGACGATGGACAAATCAAATGAAAAATTATGGCTGTTACAGCAATCGCAGCAACTCCGACGATATTTGATTCAATCGATTCAAGAGCTGTTATTAAAGTCATTTGCGTCGATAACGGCCATCACTATTGACGCGTAAAGGCGGTAGTCGATACAGCTTTCCTAACGGGCCCTCTGATCTCTCTTTCGCTCACCAAAAATAAACATCGTACCATCTTTATCTTGCGTAGGTGTAGCCTAAATGACTGGGTACAAGGAGATTAGACGAAAGGTGTTTTGATAAGAACCCATAATTTTATATTCTTTGAACGTGAGGAATTTGAATTTGAATACGTAGTTAGACGCTTTGTAGCTAATGAACACCGAGACTGACGTTCGGTTTTAGGTTCTTTAAAAGATGATGAAGGTATTTGTGAAGGCAAATTCTGCGTTGATCTTCTGAAATAATTTTGGAAGTTGTCTGTTTTCGTTGTAGGTTTAGACGGCATGGTATGTATCTAATATGACAATCACTATGCTACTCGTATTAGGTTGCTGACCCCGAATCGTAGTAACTAGTTCTCTTATATTATCTACAATCTTTTAGGTATAAGACTTGCATGACTACATTTATTGATTTTAAAAGTTACAAGTTAATGTTGTTGGAGATGACAGGGGATGTCTCATATCATAGGATCTTCGCCGCTATCCTCTAAGCATCCCTGTACAGCCTGGCATACAATACTCACTCTTTTCTCAAATTTTGTGGAGATCTACAATATCCAAAAAGACATGTTCTTCAAGCCTGTGACAAAGAGCATTCATTGTCTCTATTAGAGCGACGACTAATTTCTATTACTTCACAAATTTTGTGAAAAAATCTCCATACTTGTCCTAAAGAAGACTTCCGGATGTAGTCGAAATAATTGTCGAAAACGACAAACAGTAACTTAAAATAATTCCCGTTATCTAATTATATAATAAATTCAAAAATACTACACCCACTCACTTGAGATTTGGACTTGCTAATGTAGCAATAGGAATATGGGAGTTAATCAACTATTTCTTTCCAAAAATATTAAATTTCTGGTATAATATTCATTTAAAAGTATGCTAATAATATTGATTTCTCCCTGTACAGTATAGATGCGTAACATGTGACGCCATGAGAAGCTGAGAACCGATGGAAGGTTACCGGTAAGGTGACGGAACTGGTTTCCGAGCACACGTTTTGTTGCATATCTTCGAAACTGCAAGCTGATTGGCCGAGTCCGAATTCAGTTTGAATTCTATAGACCTGATAAATAAATAAGCGATCAGGTTTTCAACATTTAGTCAAACTACTATCGTTTTTGGTTGAACATCAATAACTATTTTATCTACCTTAACGGTTATATACACCACAGGGAGATTTAATTTATACAAAAGCATGAGTAGATAGTTCTATCTCACGTTTTGTTGCTAAGCAGCCTCTCTACACAAGGTACAAATGAATCTATCGACAGAATTGTTTCGGTCAGCGCTTATATGGGAAAGAACAAGACGGCGCATGTCGCCATCTCAATCTATCTAATGGACTCGCTAACGATAACAATTCTGTCAATAGATTCGTTTGTACTTTGTCGTGTGAGAGGGAGGGGGCAGGCAAACTACTGATTGTAGAGCTTCTGAGTGGTCTCGTCATAGAATAGGCCATCCCTTCCTTTTCAATGGGTATCGTAAGAGACGACTAAGGGAGGGCGAGGGATTTTTTTTAGATGTTGGCCGATTCTCAGACCTACCCGATATGCACACAAAATTTCATAAAAATCGGTAAAACCGTTTCGGAGGAGTTTGGTAACAAACACCGCGACACGAGAATTTTATATATTAGATAAAATATATAGAAGCATTGAAGACCTGCTCTTTAATATTATTGAGAATTGGCAATAAAAAAACATCAATTTATTATTATCATTTATACAGATGTGTTTGATCATTAGCAAACTTTAGAACAAATACGAGTTTTTTTTTTATTGTCTTGCAACTTTTTTGCTGACACGGTGGGTGGTTCCGGTTCAAAATTTAAGTATTTAATTGTTTGGGTGTTTCTAAGTTTTTAATAAAGTTGGAATTTTATAAATATGTGTGGTTTTATATAAACTTCCCAATTTTTTACCTTAGTATATCTATTTGTCTATGCTAATGGTAGGAATAGGGGGAAGGATTGTTTTTTTTTTAAAGATAATGGAATGGTAATCCCGCCTGCGCTATCAGTATGCACTGGCGGGGCACCAGTGTGAGATGATTGGTGAGGATGAAAAAGCAGGTCAGTTAGCCCATCGT